ATTTATTTAAAAATACATAATAATGATAATATAAATAATAATAATAACAATAAAATAAAATAAAATAAAAAAAAAAAATAAAAAATAAAATCCTGACGTTTAAACTCAAGTCGGATTTTTTTTTTCTAAAATAAACATACTGTAAAAGAGAAAGTGAAAAAAAAATGTGTTCTTTGATGTCTGACCAAATCAGAACGTCACATTCTAGTGATTTTGATTTTTCAAATAATCTATTATTTGTTCCATTTCAAAATAATGTTGGTTCACCTTTAACATATAATCTTTAATCATCGACATATGGTGGGAAATATAAATAATTAAAGAGTCGTTGTTATATCTGATGGCATTATTATTAATATTTCCAGAATTCAACAAAGAAGTTCTATTATTAAAGTTTAAACCAGAACCGTTAAAATTAAGATTGGGATAGCTATTATTAAATGAAGATGTGGACAAATTGCTATTAGTGCAAAAAAGGTGCCGTGGTTGTGGTGACGAGAATGATAAAGGTTGTTGTGGTGGTATTATGTTATTATTAACATTATTATTATTGCCGTTTAAAAATGGTTGTGACTGTATTGTGTTAATTATTCCATCTCTCGTACGAGTTCTTATCCATCCGTGACTTCATCTGTACATCATAATCAGGAAAGCTAGTAGCAAACTATATACGTATTCGACAAAACAGAGACTTGTGTATAATTTTACTGCATAGTAATATTATATGGATGTTGTTGTTGTTGTTGTTGTTGTTGTTGTTATTATTACATTTAAATCCACCGTTTTCCTAATGCAGGTACCATGTATCAAACGATAGTGGGAAGCTTTCATATAAAATAATTGCTAGAAATTCATTAGAAAGCTTTAATAACGCATATAAATCGGCATATGTGAATCAAGCATAAACCTCCAAACGAATATCCTTACCACAATTGCATCGATTATTTTAATTACAAATATGATTGATTCTCGCTCAGTTATGACGTGTATGCTTAATATTAATAATAATGTAAAAATGGGATTTATTATTTATATTTAATAAGTAATTTTCCCTTACAATAAAAAGATTTGTATTACAAATATTTTTGAGGAATTAATTACAAGCCAACACTATAAAAATTGTTCACATTAATACAATGCTTTATATTTTTATTTTGTTCTCATAATTCAGTTTAACAAAACGAATTGAGAGGAGTTGCCTTTCCAAGAATCAAAAGGCATGATCAACTAAAATTAATGTGTTACACCATTTTCATTCATATATTAAATTGTTAATTAATTAAATTATTAAAAAAACAAATTGTCTAATTCTGGCCACTGACTTTATCAACAATGGGTCTTTGTATATCTGCCGAAGAAAAAGAACTAAAAGCACGAAGCAACAAAATTGATAAACAAATCGAAGAAGATAGTCGAAGATTCAAAAAAGAATGTAAAATCCTTCTGCTAGGTATGTTATGTTACTTATTTGTTTGTTATATAAATCTATTCATTTTTTCTTATTAATCATTTTCTATAATGTTAATTTATCACCTGCAACAATATACCCGCATAATTTATATATATATGCGCCTTATATAACAATTTAATTGTTTAAATAATTATTGGGATTATTGGAATTCTAAAATTAAAAATTATAACTATTAAAAAAATTATATGTGGGCATATAGGCTCTGGAGAATCAGGAAAATCTACTATAGTAAAACAAATGAAAATAATACATCAAAATGGATACACAAAAGAAGAACTAGCACATTATCGTATAACGGTATATAAAAATCTTATGGATTCAGCCCAAGCGATAGTTTATGCTATGAAAAAATTTCAATTAGAACCTCGAAAATCTATAAACAGGGTATGAAATTATGCATATATTGTTATCATAGCATATATAAACATAATATTTAATATATACACAAACTTATTCATACAATAGGTTTATGCAGAAAAAATATTAGAGTATTATGTAGAATCAGATCCAAATTTTCAATTAAACCCAGAGATAGTTGAAGCAATTGATTCAGTATGGAATGATCCAATAATATCAGAAGTATTAGATAAACAAAACCTTTTCTATTTAATGGATTCTGCTCCTTAGTTAGTATTATAGTTATTATAACAATTAGTATTTATTGTTTATGTGTATATATTTATGATTATTTATAAATATAGTTTTTTTGGATCAGTAAAGAGAATTGGAGCTCAAAGTTATATTCCAAATGAGACAGATGTTTTACGTGCGAGAACAAAGACTACTGGAATAATGGAAACAAGGTTTACTATGGATATACTAAGCATACAGTAGGTTATCAGAATAAAAATGATAATTACTGCTAATATATGTTATTATCTATATATTATATATACTTATATATGTGTGTGTGTAATTAGTATGTTTGATGTAGGAGGTCAAAGATCAGAAAGAAAAAAATGGATTCATTGTTTTGAAGCTGTCACATCAATTATTTTTTGTGTAGCACTTAGCGAATACGATCAAGTTTTACTGGAAGAATCTGGACAGGTTCTTTGTGTTTTTTTTTTTGGTGAAGGAAGGCAAAAATTATTAGTCAAAAATTAAATTATTATTATTATTATTATTATTTTATGATAATAATAGAATCGTATGATAGAAAGTCTTGTATTGTTTGAATCAGTGATTAATAGTAGATGGTTTTTGCGAACATCAATCATTTTATTCCTTAATAAAATTGATCTGTTTAAAGCAAAATTACCCAGAGTTCCTCTCTCGGATTATTTTCCCGAATACACAGGTAAAATATTTATTAATATATATTATTATACTATATATATATATTAAGAGTGTATTAATATTTATGCATACATGTAGGTGGTAATGATATAAATAGAGCATCAAGGTATATATTATGGAGATTTACACAAAAAAACAGAGCAAATCTTAATATATA